AAGTTTAAATTTAAAATAGTTTTCCCATCTAATTGACACTTGATAATGATGCAAGTGTCAAACAACGCGTCAAAAATTGGTGTACAAATAGTAAAGTTCAATCGGTAAGAACCTTGCTATATGTACACTATGGTGTACACTTTAGTTTACACTTTCCCACAAGACATTACCCTATTGGACAGTTTAAATTTCAAACAATTTTCTCATCCCATTGACGCATAACTACAAAGCAAGTTCTAAAAATCAGTGTACAAAAAGCAAAGTTCAATCAGTAAGGACTTGCTACATCTACACTATGGTGTTCACTTTAGTTTACACTTTGCCACGTGACATTACGCTGTTGGACAGTTTAAATTTCAAATAGTTTTTCCATCCAATTGACACTTGACAACAACTCAAGTGTCAAACAACATGTCCAAAATTAGTATACAAATCGCAAAGTTCAATCGGTAAGAACCTTGCTACATGTACACTTTAGTTTACACTTCGCCACGTGATATTACCCCGTTGGATAGTTTAAATTTCAAACAGTTTTCCCATTTAATTGACACTTGACAATAATACAAGTGTCAAACAACGTTTCAAATATTAGTGTACAGATAGCAAAGTTCAACCGGTAAGAACCTTGCTACATGTAATCTATGGTGTACACTTTAGTTTACACTTTCCCACGTGACATTACATTGTTGGATATTTTAAATTTCAAACTATTTTTACTTCCAATTAACACTTGACAACAATGCAAGGGTCAAAAAACGTGTCAAAAATCTGTGTACAAATAGCAAAGTTTAATCTGGATCATGCGACATATACCCAATGGTGTACACTTTAGTTTAGACTTTGCCACGTGTTGTTACACTGTTGGACAGTTTAAATTTCAAATAATCTTCCCATCCAATTGACACTTGACAACAATGCAAATGTCAAACAATGTGTCAAAAATCAATGTACAAATAGAAAAGTTAATGTAGAACCCCAAATATTTCTAGACACCTTAGTGGCACTAAGACATGAATATTGGATGACTAAAGTATACTTCAAATTTTTAGTCTCATTTGAGACCCGTTTTCAACATAGAAAACATTTGATTTGGAAAATGATATCTAAATAAAATTGTAGCTCTTTGAGTTAACTTTCCAACGTATTTTGAATTACCTCAATCGGATATCGGAAGAAGAAGTTAGGATAGAAATACTGAAGGCTATGCAGTGTCAACCGGACTACAACCGGTCGACCGAAACTGCCTGAAATAAAAATTCTTGTTTTTCTTTAGAATTTAAATATTTATTTTCATCAATTATTTTCTCAAAGGACCACCCACGTTTTTGGAAATAAAAATCCCACTAAATTGAAGCATTTAACCTCAAACTTAAATGGCACCCATGTTTTCTCTCTTAAATGAAATTTGACCCTTCATTTTGCTTTAAGTTATGGGATATTTACCAATAAATAGAGACCTCATTTCACTCATTTTTCTCACACCAAAAGCAAGAGCTTTTACATACTAAAGAAAGAGTTTCCAAGAGAGAAAAAGTGGGGGAGGAAAACTATTTTTCCTAGAAGTTTTCTCAACGGTTTTCAAACATCCAAGGAGTGCATTTCTTTCAACGTCCAAGCTTCATCGAAGTTTTCAATCCAAGTTTTCAAAGTTTCAAAAGCATCAATCAAGGTAGGTAGAGGTGCAATATGTTTAATCGTGTTAAGTTATAAGTTTTGATTCATGTTAATGTTTGTATGTCAAATGGTTCTCCGGTACGGCATATCCCTCTATGTTAATGGATGTATGTCAAATGGTACTCCGGTACGGCATACCCCTCTATGTTGAAGAAATGTTCGTATGTCAAATGGTACCCTCGGGTACGGCATACCTATAATACTCCGAATTTTGTGCTCATTTAATTTTTAGAATAGCAATTTAACTTTTCAAAATTTAGTATGGCCAAAAATTATTTATGGTTGCCAAATTTTGCATTGGTTGATTTAGTAAAAGTTTTTCCAAATAATTTGTTAATTAGGGGTTTGGGATAAATGTCCATTTTACACCTAATTACTAAAGTTAAACATTGTTTCTCCACTTGGTCGAGAATTTGATGAAACATATATGCATGAGGTGTTTTAATTTATGCATGAGGTGGCTAACTAATGCATGAGGTGTTTTGGATTTAAGAAAATGAAACCATGCAGCCCACACGTGTTGAATTTCTTGAAGTGTCACCCATAATTAATCAATTTTCTCACCTATAAATAGAAATATTGCTGCCCTATATTTCCTTTGCATGAAAAATAGCTTATCACTTGTTTAAGAAGGGCAGAAAATGTGAGGGAAGAAGAGGACCAACCTAGCATTTCTCAATTCATTTTTCAACCAAGATTTCTTCAAGTTTTATTGTAAGATACTTTCTATTCTTAAGTGGTATGATTTCATTGTAATATTTATGCTTAAGCTATGCATGAAAAACCATAATATGAATGTGGTGGACAAGTTCGCAAAGTTACATATCTATTTATGCCTTAGGACAAGTCCGAAGGGCACTGGCAAGTCGGAATGTGCAAGTACGTGTTTATTGCATTATTTTGTGCAGTGTTAACATGTTAAAATTCAAGCATGGTATCTTACTAAGTATTCCTTATACTCATAGTATTCTATACTAAATTTTCAGATCCATAATTGCGAAGTTGGTGGAAGTCAGTCGGCGTAATCGATGATGGGTTAGGGACAAGGTTGTTTTACATTGAAGTTTTGTTTTTGCATGTTTTGTTCGACTGCTTTCCATATGTTTTCTTATGGTATTGTATAAAAACATGTATAAGACATGATGTAATATGGTATCGAAAGTAAATTATGTAATTATTTCTTCTATGCTGTGTTAAGAGACATCTTTTTTTTAAAAAAACTTTTCCTTGCAAGTGACAAAAGGCAGAAACGGAACAGTTTTTGGGTCAACTTCAAAACGATATTTACAAATCTATAAACATTCATTTGGTACTCTAAAAATATTTTTACGTTCCTCTTTGGGTTTTCTAAATATGGGCTCAGGAACCACTCAATTTGGATATCTACGGTTTGAGATATAAATTTTTAAACATCGAGGGGTCAATCTGGATTTCCTGTGCAATACTCAACTGTTTTCAGTAAAACACCCATATCATATGATCTTGGAAAATTTTCATATTTTAACCTGGAAAACTAGTTGAAATTATCTTTATAATACCGCAAATTTCATAGAAAATGGAGTTGGGATGAATTTTATAAAAATAGTCGAACGTGCTGCCCAACTAACCGTGGTAGTGCCGAGTCCGTATATGTAAAGTATAATTTCATGTCGACATGCACTTCTACCAGCCATTAAATTTTATGAGAGATATTTTACCAAATTGAAAATAAGTTTCTAACATGTAATACTTCTATTTAATAGTATTTACATGTACCAAATGCAGAAGCTATTATGTTTAGTACGTGACCTTGAAGCTTAAGTTCAGGGCGTTACAGCGTGGTATCAGAGCGCGGTTATGCTTTTTTGTAGACTATATTTAAAAAAAAAGGTTACTTCCTTCATCATCGAGCAAGCTAGCAACTGACTTTCAACCGACGATCAAGGTAAAAACTTCTTTTTAAAGTTTATGAGCTTTCTTATGAAATGAACTGCTATAACTATGGCAGGGTATAGGAATATTTTGAATCAAGTCATGGTTGAGATTATAAATTCATTAACACTTATATGTAATTATTTATTAGAGCATTATAGAATAACATAATCAATTTTGCCCTAGTTATGGCACGAACGGTAAACCCCCACAAGGACAGAAGCTTGTGGTTTTGCGAAGAAGCGGGACATATTATTGGCATTTTACTATAATTATTGTATGCATCTGCTCCATAGCCTCGAACAACATCTTGATTTGCTAGACTGTATTATTGAGATTTTATGGGAGATACACCATAGCTTAAGGGATAAGGTGAAGATACGGAGGTTATATGAAACTGTTCCAGAACCTTGGGCCTTAGTCATAAATGAGATTGTGCTATGGTCTAACGATGACCTTTCATATGAGGACCTTACATATTTACTTCGAGAAAGTTATGAAACTAGCCGCGATTTACAGTGAAACTTTAGGAAGACTATAACCTTATCCATGAATACTAGTTTACGAGCTACCAATTCTAGGCTAGATAAGGGACCGTTGGCTAAGTGCTTTTCGAGAGTTCTAGATGAAAGTTTTCCCGTACCATTACTAGATAGTTCAGAGCAAAGTATGTTAGAGGAAGACCCAGAGAAAGACCCAGATGAAGACCTCGATGAGGATCCAGAAGAAATAGAAGATTAGACACCATCTTATCTAGCTATCTTTGTTTTTGGAATAGAATAGGATGTAATACGTACATCTACTTTTGAATGTATGCACCGTACCTCAATATGACTTTTGTTTGTGAAAAATAATAATGTATATATATGAAGGAAGGTTGCCTTGACCTTTGGATTATTTCTAAAGTTAGTATTACGTTCTGAAGTAATTCTAACTAGATGAATATTTTTCATTCAAAGGAAATGCCTCCAAAGCGCAACCACTGTAGTGCACCAAATTCCAATATGAACTTAGGCGGTGGCAATGCTAATGCTAGTTCTAGTGGTGGCGAAATTAATGTAGCAAACTTTGCATGAGAACTGTTGGCCGTAATGCAAGAGTTGGGACAACAATAACAGGCACCACCTTCGACTGGACAACGAACACTAAATCAAAAAGTACCAATTGATCATCAGGAGCCCAACCAACTAGCTATTCAACCTCAAATAGTACCTAACCCGAGGGATTGAACTGCAATGATAGAGCAATTTCGTAAAATGAACCCTCCATCATTCGAGGGGAGTATAGATCCCTTGGCAGTTGAAGACTGGTTATGAGAACTAGAATATATCTTTAAATTTATAAGATGCGAAGATGCTGAAAAGGTAACATGTTTAGTCTTTATGTTAAAGAAGGGGGCTAGCCATTGGTGGGACATGACTACCAGGTCATTAACATCTGCTAAAGAACAGGCTATAACTTGGGAGAGGTTTAAGGAACTCTTAGAAGAAGAATTTTTCCCGACAGCTATAAAAGATCAAAAGGAGATGGAGTTCCTCAGACTCCAACAGGGAACCATGACCCTTGTGGAATATGAACGTAAATTTGAGGAATTATCAAGGTTTGCTCCACATCTAGTGGATATGGAAGAAAAGTGGGCTAGAAGGCTCGAGCATGGGCTTCAACCTTATATTCATGATATAGTGTTAGTTCTCGAGTTAAACACTTATCGAGAAGTCCTGAAGCGAGCGCTGACTATTTCTTATCAAAGAATTTAAAACGTTGGAAATTCTTAGCAAGTTCAAAATTTCTCCGGTAAGAGGAAGTTGAACTTTGATAGGCAAAATAACGGGAATAATGCACCAAAGAAAGGAAAGACAGAGATAGTGGGAGCTGGTGGTGATAGTGGGAGCTGGTGGTGATAAATGTTGTCCTAAGCGTGATAGACCTCACAAAGGAGAATGCTTATTGGGAAAAAATGTTTGTTTCAAGTGTGGGAAATCAGGACATTTTGCTAAAGAATGCCCCCAAAATCAGACACAGAAGGCTGGAGATGACAAAAAAGGAAAAGCAAGAGTTTTCTCTTTATCCAAGCAAGAAGCAGAGCGAGACCCTAATGTCCTTGCAGGTATCATCTCTATTTCCAATGTGCCTGCATTTGTACTTATAAATTCTGGAGCTACACATTCGTTCATTTCTTTTTCGTTTGTTGCAAAGTCTAAAGTGAAATGTGAATTCCTTCTGTATTCCTTAGAAATCTCTCTTTCATCTGGAAAGATACTTGTGGCTGACCAAATAGCTAGAAATCTTAAGATGAGAATTGATGGTAGAGGTATAGCGGTAGATCTAATTCTGTTAACGATGAAAGACTTTGATGTTATCCTTGGTATGGATTGGTTGTCTAAAAACTATGCAACTATTCATTGTATTGAGAGAATGGTGATTTTTCGAAGATCCGGCGAGAAAGAGTTTCACTTTGTGGGAACTGAGGCAAATACCTTATCTCCTATAGTGTCAACAACTCAGGTTGAAAGGACGCCAAAAAAGGAATTAGGTCAAAGATTTCTAGTATCGATGACCAACATTAAACGAAATAAGTTGTCAACTGAGGATGTTCGAATAGTTCAGCATTATAAAAATGTTTTTCTAAAAGATTTTCTAGGTGTACCACCAGACAGGCAAGTAGAGTTTACCATCGACTTAGTACCAGGAGCAGTACCTATTTCAAAGGCTCCATATCATATGGTACCATTGGAACTGTAAGAGTTGAAGGTACAGTTGAAGGAGCTTCTTGATAAGGGTTTCATTAGACCAAGTGTATCGCCTTGGGGTGCACCTGTGTTATTCGTGAAAAAGAAGGATGGAACAATGAGGTTGTGCATTGACTATCGAGAATTGAATTGCCTCACTATAAAAAAAAATATCCACTTCTAAGAATAGAAGATTTGTTTGACCAGCTTAAGGGGGCTACAGTGTTTTCAAAGATCAATTTAAGATCAGGATATCATCAATTGAAAATTAAGTCAGATGATATCCCTAAGACGGCTTTTAGGACGCGTTATGGGCATTATGAATTTTTGGTGATGCCTTTTGGATTAACTAATGCCCCGGTAGTATTTATGGATCTAATGAACAGAGTATTCCATGAATACTTAGACCAATTTGTCATAGTTTTTATTGATGACATCTTAATCTATTCGAAGAGTAATGAGGAACACAAGAAACATCTCACGATTGTCTTGGAAACTCTAAGAAAAGAGAAGTTTTATGCCAAATTCAAGAAATGTGAATTTTGGTTGGATAAAATAAGTTTTTTAGGGCACGTAATCATAGCACAAGGAATTGAAGTAGACCCAACCAAAGTGGAAGCAGTAAATAATTGGGCAAGACCAACCAATGTTAGAGAAATACGTAGCTTCTTGGGATTGGCTGGTTACTATAGAAGATTTGTCGAGGGATTTTCTAAAATAGCAGGGCCATTGACCCAGTTGACTCGAAAAGGGATAAAATTTCAATGGACAGAGAAATCTGAACAGAGCTTCCAAGAGCTGAAACGAAGATTAGTCACAGCTCCAATGTTAACAATACCTGACGGACCAGAAGGATTCGTTATATATAGTGATACTTCGAAACAGGGCATAAGATGTGTTCTGACGCAGAAAGGAAAGGTGATAGCCTACACTTCCAGACAATTGAAACAATATGAACAAAACTACCCAACCCATGATCTAGAATTGGCTGCGGTAGTTCATGCCCTCAAGATATGGCGTCATTTCTTATATGGAAATAAGTGTGACATTTATACTGATCATAAGAGTTTGAAGTACTTTTTCACCCAAAAGGAATTAAATATGAGGCAGAGGAGATGGCTAGAGCTAATAAAGGATTATGATTGCACTATCCTTTACCATCCTAGTAAAGCTAATGTAGTAGTAGATGCTCTTAGCAGAAAGGTGGTTGGATAATTAGCAGTACTAATCACTATGCAGGACTAGTTGTTAAAGGATTTCAAAAACTTACATCTAGAAGTAATTGTTCCACCAAACAAAACTATCACCAGGATAGCGGCTCTAACGATTCGACCAACACTTAGAGATCGAATGAAAGTAGCACAAGATGGTGACTCTTTCCTGCAAAAGATCAAATCTGAAGTTGGTACTAGCAAGCGAAAGGAATTTGAATTAGGCAGTGATAAAGCCTTACTCTTTAAGGGAAGGTTGTGTGTGCCGAAAGATGAGGGATTGAGGAAAGAAATTCTTGAAGAAGCACACTTAACTCCATATACTGCTCATCTAGGAGGAACAAAAATATATCGTGATCTAAGGAGTATATTTTGTTGGAGAAATATGAAACGGTGCATAAGTCTTTTTGGTAGGAAGTGTATGACTTGTCAACAAGTGAAAGCTGAACATCAAAGGCCATCTGGATTGTTGGAACCATTAAGAATTCCACAATGGAAATGGGAGCATATAACTATGGGTTTTGTAATGGGTTTTCCAAAATCAGCTAGGGAAAATGATGCTTTATGGGTTATAGTGGATCGGTTAACAAAGTCAGCTCATTTCCTACCGGTAAGAATGAATTTTAGTATGGATCAATACACGTGATTGTACATCAAAGAGGTCATCCGTTTGCATGGAATCCCAGCCTCAATTGTATTGGATAGAGATCCAAGATTTACCTTAAAATTTTGAAAAAGTTTGCAAGAAGCTATGGGAACCAAGTTAAACTTCAGCATAGCTTTTCATCCGCAAACTGATGGGCAATCGGAGAGGACTATACAGACTTTGGAGGATATGTTGCGTGCATGCGTCCTTGATTTAGGGGGCAGTTGGGAAAGTTATGTACCACTGGTAGAGTTTGCCTATAATAATAGCTATCAAGCTACGATAAAGATGGCACCTTATGAAGCTCTTTATGGCAGAAGATGTAGAGCTCCCCTTTATTGGGATGAAGTAGGTGAACGAAGAATTTTAGGACCCGAAATAATTGAGGAAACTAGTCGAGCGGTTGATAAAATAAGAGCTAGAATCAAGGTAGCCCAAGACCGACAAAAAATTTATGCCGATAAAAGGAGAAAAGATTTGGCATTTAATGCTGGTGATAAAGTTTTCTTAAAAGTGGCACCGATGAAGGGAGTTCTTCGCTTTGGAAAGAAGGGAAAACTTCGACCAAGATTCATAGGTCCTTTCGAAATTTTGCAAAAAGTTGGAAATGCAGCCTATCGAATTGCTCTACCACTAGATTTGTCAGCAATTCATGATGTGTTCCACGTGTCAATGCTTCGACAATATGTGCCAGATCAAAGTCATGTAGTTAATTGTCAACCATTGGATATCAAACAAAACATGAATTATGAGGAAAAACCAGTAGCAATATTGGATCGCAGAATCCAACAATGGAGAACAAAGGAAATTCCATTAGTGAGAGTTCAATGGAGAAACCATAATGTCGAAGAGTCAACTTGGGAAAGAGAAGAGGAAATCAAGATCAAGTATCCAGAACTTTTCAACTAAGTTCAAGGTAATTTCGATGATGAAATTTTTTTTAGGGAAGAAGGATGTAATACTCCGAATTTTGTGCTCATTTAATTTTTAGAATAGCAATTTAACTTTTCAAAATTTAGTATGGCCAAAAATTATTTATGGTTGCCAAATTTTGTATTGGTTGATTTATTAAAAGTTTTTCCAAATAATTTGTTAATTAGGGGTTTGGGATAAATGTCCATTTTACACCTAATTACTAAAGTTAAACATTGTTTCTCCACTTGGCCGATAATTCGATGAAACATATATACATGAGGTGTTTTAATTTAAGCATGAGGTGGCTAACTAATGCATGAGGTGTTTTGGATTTAAGAAAATGAAACCATGTAGCCCACACGTGTTGAATTTCTTGAAGTATCATCCATAATTAATCATTTTTCTCACCTATAAATAGAAATGTTGCTGCCCTTTATTTCCTTTGCATGAAAAACAGCTTATAAAGTTATAAAGTTAATGATTTGAAATGTATAGCTTGATCACGAATGCACCTATGACACCTATTGAGCTTTTCAACTCATGGGTTTAATCCCATCTCTACAGATTGAAGGAATTCTACCTCGGGCATGGATGGAGGAGAAGATGGAGAGTGATGCAACGAGCCCATGGAAATCCGGTGAATAAGTGATTTGGATTTATTTTTATGAAATATTTTCTAATGTTATTTCTTTAAAGTTTTGAATAAAGCATAATGTGACAACAAGTTATGTTTTCTTCAAATAAATTACATTTTGTTGTTTTGAAAAATGATTCAATGTTTTTGTTTAAAGTATTTGAAGTATTGTTATTTAAATTATTATCCGAAGATGTGAGCTTCCGCTAAAACATATACACTTGTTACTAAACCACCGGTTAAGCTAAGTAAAGTAAGTAGCGTTTCGGTCCACTAGGGGTCGGGGCGTTACAGCGTGGTATCGGAGCAAGGTTTGGCCGGTTCTGTAGACCAAATATGTTTTTTTTTAAAAACAAAAGGAAAATGAAAAGTTTAAGGTATTCCATGGCATTGTGCATCCATCCATCAATCTCATCCTATGGCCCAGGTATGTTCATGTTTAAAGTTAATGATTATGTTTATGTTATGATGCTTTGATATGATTTAGAGATGTGTTATTTAAAGATATGTAATGGACTTGGGCAAAAGCTAAGGGCTTAAAGGGAATTGCAAGATATGAAAGTTTAAATATTTGCATGTTTTCTTTAAGCAAAGAAAAAGTATGATGTATGTGAAAATGCAACAGATATGGCTCGTAGAACGGCTAGGGAATATAGAGAAGCATTGAACCGTAGAATTGCTATCCATTCCTATGAAAACTATGTAATTGATCCGATCCGACCGCTTAGCGAACATGTGTATGACATCAATGAGAGATGCATGACGACGGTTAATGCTGGAATGGAGATCACGCATATTGAGGCCATAAATAACCTCACACACTCCCTCCCACCTCAATGGGGAAATATGGAAGTCACGGTTAGAGATGAAATGTTAGAAGGCAACACAAACCTGTTCGAGTTTGAGAGGTATTGCCATGCCCTGATTGATTTATAGGATGATGTAATCCATGAGGAGCCTAAGGATGAACCTTTGGCTGAGGAAGAAGATCCCCAAGAAGAACCCGAGGATGATTTAGAGAATGATCCTATGGACATAAAGTCCGGACATGAGGCGGAAGACTCCTCCGAAGATGAAGCTCCACCAAAGAAGATTCGTAGAACTTATAGGGATTAGATGAAGCTCCAATGGAGCAGCTGATCCACATGCAGCCGAGGAGTGGCTTCGCAAGTTGGAGCGTATATTCTGATTGATAGGGTGCACAGACACTCAGAAAGTCCAGTGTGCTGAGTTCATGTTCTCCGGTGATGCAAGTCACTGGTGGGACTCAATGTTAAGGACAAGGACCCCTGAGCAACAAGCAGAATTGACTTGGGAGCAATTCAAGGGGGAAGTAATGGACAAGTACTTTCCCCAGTCCTTGAGGGATCACAATGAAAGTGAATTCCTCCAACTCAAGCAAAAGACTACGTCCCTGACTAAGTATGAGACGAAGTTTGATCAACTTTCAAGGTATGCTCCACATCTAGTGGATACGGAAGATAAGAAGGTACGAAGGTTTGAACAAAGGTTGAACTCGGATATAAGCATGATACTTATGTCCCATCACTTCACCACATACTATGAAATGTTGGAAAGAGCTCATGCTATTTGGTACTAGAAGACTA